CAATCATCTAATAAATTATGATTGTACTATTTAGAATTAAGCTACCCCGCAGTTTGTAAAGTAGTTGACATTAGACCAACCTTTACCAGCTACAATATTTAAGTTATACTTATTATTGATACCAATAGTGATGACACTAATGCATCACCACTATAATCCAATATTATAATAATCATTATTCTGAAATGGGCCATTCCACTGACTTTCTATAAATTAAAATTAGCTATAACTCACAGTGATGATTTCACTGCCTTAATCCACATCTGGTCCAAGCCATCACATCTCTGTGGAAAAAAAGCCAAATTTAACCTGCAAATCTCGGCATCCTTCATTTTTCTGCAGTGGAAATTAACTAAGTAGGTACTTGTACTAGATATTTGTCTAAATAATGTCTACCCCTAAAGAGCCTTGTCCTTTTCATTTGCTTAACTTCCTTAATTAGATAGCCAATCACTGAATTTATAATTTTAGCATGATTATATTAACGTTGCAATACTTTCAGACTTTAAATAGTTGTGCTGAAGGTAATATATAATTATTAAAATATGCTGGGTCATCAGTTGAAACTCTTAATAGGTAATAATCACTGGATAGTGTGATTGTAATATATAATGCAACCAAATACCTCCACTTTATATTACATTTAAAAACCATTTGTCGGGACACTGAAATTCCATTTTGACAGACTGCATGAACAGTAACAGCACATACTTGTGTCCACCAGTCTAACGTCAGATACTTTAATCTAATATTTATTTTATAACAGACTGTGCTGACTGCTGTATTTTAATCCTCACAGGCAGAGTTTGACAACATTGTGAAGATGTTGGCTCAGGAGGCAACGAGAAAGATCAACGTGATTTTCTCCCAACTTTCCTCAATACTGCACAATGAGAACAAGACTCTGAAGGCCAAAGTGAGGCAGCTGGAGAATGAGCTGAAGACTACAACTGAAAGCTTTGAAAATGCCAGACTGTGGAGAGAAAATGTCCTGAACGGCTGCCCGGTCCTGTTTGAGCAGAGCGGGTTGATTTACACCTTGAAGCCTTTTGGGAAGTTAAAAAGAAAGACAGATGAGCTAACGGAGGAAGTCACAGGATCAACGCCTGCTGCTGGGATGGAGAGTGGACATGATGCTGGTGGGTTTCCATTAAGGAAAATTCCACCATAAAATTCTAACCCTATGAAAAGCTCTCTGCAAGTACTCTGCAGAAAAATGTGTTATGAGCAAAATGGAAAATAAACACAGAACATTTCAACTCTACTTCTGGGACAGTGTACAAATACTCCATGGCTTGCTAAAATCCTGCTCCTGAACATGCAGTACTGTCATCGGAGTCAGTTAAATTAGGTTGCTGGTGCATTTCTTTAATTTTTTTCACCTATTTTATTATTTTATTAACAGCAAACCCACTAAAAAGGAGAAATAACCCATTAACCAAGTTTTCCTGAGTCACAGTAATAATAGTAAAGCACAAAATAAATATATCAACAACAGTAAAATACTCTCAAAACTTAAGGGGGAAAAACAATTTCCATCTAATTGTTAAGGAAAATTTGATCTAGACATATTATTATTTTTAATTTAAATTTTTATTGAGAACAGAACATTTACAGCATTTTCAGTTGATTAACCGACTAATGTGTGTATGTCTGTATTCTTTACTATACATTTCTTGTTTAGATGGTGGAGAGGCAATAAAGGAGGTGAACTCTGAAGCTGATACCTCACCGGCCAGTAAACATGGTGAGATTTTAAATTGTGAATGTGGAAGAAGTAGTCCAAGTCCAAGTAGTCTTCCTGCATGATACACTGCTATGGACGCCATGTTAGTTTGGTTGCGAAAGTCACACAGTAACAAACAATCGAGTCAGCGGTAGAACAGTAACTCCAGTGTGCTGTGAGGTAAAATTACGGTTCCCAATGTAGTCTGGTGGCTTTGAAGAGAGTATAGACAACGGCTTCAGTTCCCCATTGGAAAGGGCTGTCTGACAGTGAGGTAAAGCAGTCGAGTGATCTCAATATAGTACACGTAGCTGATTTTGATTTTCCTTGGGTGCTCCTGTTTTAAGGAAGCTAGAATATGTTTTGCTGCTGCTCCCATCCACAGCCACCAGACTACTTTGACAGAAACAGTAAATTCACTTCGCAGAACACATGGAGATGCCACTTACCACTACTGCTGACTGGTTAGTTAGTTTGTGTTCCTACGTGACGATGTAAACCGAGCTAACATTATGTCCAGAGCAGGTTACATTGTTTAGCTTCTTTCTGCGTCTACACACCTAAAGCGTGCCGACTGCATCTACTGGAGGTAATACACTGACTGTGGATCTATCAAAGTGTTTATACAGTACAAATGCAGAATGCACTGAATCACAGTGTGTCCTCACCCAGCTTAATAATGGTTTAATAACACCATGCTCCACCTCCAAGCTCAGATCTTCCAAGCTAACACATTTACTCTACTCACTCTCCATGCTTACACTGTCATTGAAAGGTGTGAAAGGTGTGTGCAGTGTGGCGAGGGTGGGTCAGCACTGAAACCTACGTCACCGCTTTTTGATTACAGCTGAGTGGTAGTTTCCATTTGAAGAACATGGAAAGGAACACAGATAGACCAGCCCTTTAAGTCAAATAATAACTCGTACCAAATTGTGTCCTTTTACATAAAAATCCCAGTCTTTGCCTCTTCTACTCTTGTGTGACTTAACTTTTGTATTTTCCTCTCCTTTCTGGACACTGCAGGTGATTGTACCACAACAAGCACGACAGAATCCAAAAACACTGACAGCCAAAACACACAGGAAGCAGAAGTCAGGAAGAAAGGCAAGGTCTTTGTATGTGATGTCTGTAACAAGAGCTTCAACCGCCAGTTTCATCTGATGAAGCACATGAACACTCACAAAGAACAGAGGACTTTCACCTGTGACCAGTGCCCAAGAAAATTCAGGAATACAGCAACTTTTGAGTACCACCTGCTGCGACACGAGGAGAAGAAGTTTGCTACCTTCAAGTGCCAGCTCTGTGAGAAGACATTCAAAACAAAAATGCACCTGAAGACTCACCAGCTTGTGCACACAGACACGAGGCCGTTTAACTGCTCCACCTGCGGGAAGGCCTTTAAAACTAAACACAACCTGCAGGCTCACCAAGTCGTACACACTGTTGAAAAGCAGCACAAATGCTCAGAGTGTGGGGAGAGTTTCAGGTATGCGTTCACTCTGCAGTGCCATAAAAGCATTCATACTGGTGAACATCCTTACAAATGCTTGGTGTGTGGCAAAGCTTTTGTAAAGAGGAGGTCGCTCAGGACGCATCAGTCAGTCCACAAGGGGAAAATGTTTACATGTGAGACATGTGGGGCAGGCTTCACCCTGCAACACAACCTGAAGAGACACATTCGTATTCACACAGGTGAAAAACCGTTCAAATGCAAAGTGTGCGGGAAGAGTTTCATTCAGGACAACAAGCTGAAAGCCCACATGCTCATTCATGGTGCCTCAAAGTCATTCATGTGTGACCTGTGTGGTAGGACTTTCCTTTACAACTGCCAACTGCAGAAACACCAGAAAGTAACTCATGATGAAACACACGGGCAGGTTATCAGGAGTCGGACTCGAGAACGAGGTACCCGCAGAGTCATCTATCGACGGGACAGAACGACAGTAGATGTTACGCCGCTCAGCTGCAAGACCTGCCGCAAGAGCTTTGACACTGCAAGTTCACTGAGAAGACATGAGCTCATTCACACAGGTCAGATGCAATACCACTGCGACACGTGTGGGAAGTATTTTTTCTACAAAGCAACATACAACTACCATCAGCGGATCCACTCTGGAGAACGGCCATTCGGTTGTGACGTGTGTGGGAAGAGGTTCATCATTCGCCAGGCTCTCAAGTCCCACAAACTGCAGCACTCCGGAGAGAAACCACACACGTGCGAGCAGTGCGGCAAGGCCTTCAGGATCTACACAAACTACCTCAGACACTTACGGGTACACACGGGGGAGAAGCCTTACGAGTGTGAAGTTTGTGGAGTGAGGTTCAGGCAGCTTGGACACGTGAAGTTTCACATGCAGGTCCACACAGGAGAGAGGCCGTATTCCTGCAGCAGCTGTGGACTTGGATTTTCAGACTCAAGGCTGCTCAAGAGACACAACTGTGCTGAGAAGTATCAGAAAATTTCAGGGAACACACTCACTACGTCCTGAAACTGTGCAGGTGGTGCAAATAATGACAATGCAGCAGTAATTTCTTTGTATTCTTACCTTCTTACCTGTGGTAGATCTTACATTATTTATTTCCTGTCAGTGCAAAACACCTAGTCCTGAAATGTATTGGATATCTGAAGAAAATGCACTTTTAAAGCTTCACATACCGTTAACTAGTACCACAGGAGGGACTGGTGTAGAGCCAAACCACCAGCTACTGGTACTGGACATCCAGACAGATAACTTTAAAATTCGGGTTTAAGGTTGTTTTCATCTATCTGATTCCTCAGATTTGGGTTATAGTTCATAATGTATTCAAAAACAGCGCAAAGCACAGTAAAATAAATGTCTAAATAAAGCTGTGATTCTTGAGATGTGACATTTACAGTACAGCCGGTCATCAGCACACTCTTTCATCACATGTTCAGATAATATATCGGCATCCTTTACAAAGAACATTGTGTAAGATTTAGGAGGATTTATTAGCATCTTGCAGTCAAGATTGCAGATTGCAACCAGCTGAAACTTCTGGTTAGAATTCCTTCAATGTATGTTGTTCGGGAAGTTTGTATTGGGAGCTGAATTATCACTAAAGAAAACACTTATTATACCATGATCATGTCTGTCAAAATATCCCACACACTGGACCTTTAAGTAAAGTAACAGTAAAATTATCCCTCTGTTGTGATGTCTACTGATGACTGCTTTATGACTGAATGTGACCGCAGTAGGTATGCATGCTTTTATTTTGAAGAGCATGAACTGGGAAGAGGAAGATGGGATCCGTGTTGTGAGTGGCACGAGTTTCTTCACCATGACGACAATATTGTAGCTGCAATGGTCATTTGTTGTACTGTAAAATTATAGACCAGAAACTGAATTTATAGCTGACATATTAACGTATCAGAATGTCAGATTTGGAAGCGCAGGTTGGCTCCATTTTGGAGATAATGGTGAATACGACGGTAACCGAAATGACCAAAGTTATCGGCGGCTCCGCTTCAACACACCCACAAGTGTCCTCATGTACAACTGAAAACACACCCGGGCCCTCAGAGGAGAAGGTACGTTAAACTATTGTCGGTTAACGTTACTGAGTGTGTGTGAGCTGTGTCGGTGCTGTCGGTGTCGCCTACATCATCTCCTGTGTTGATGCTCCCTCCTCTGGCGTCCGAACAACCAGCTGAGCATAGAAATAGAATAGTTAGCTAGCTGCTTCAGTTAGCTTACTACGGCTAAACTTAAATAAAGACTCACAGTAGGAATGCTATGAAACGTGGAGCGTATACAAAGCAAAATAAAATCTAAATACGTAGTTCTGGTTTATCAACACAGACAAGAATCCATCTTTGATCGCCATCTTGATTCGGACAGCAGGCCCAGGCCTATCTATCTGCTGTATGTCTAGAAGCGTTTCAGCTACAGGTTTCACTTAACGTGCACGTTACCTGCAGACCCACCATGAACCCGTCTTCTTCAGGGGGAACTAGGGTATCCTTATGGGCTGATTGCAGATCAACAGTATATGCCACATAGATGTGGTATACATCATTTGAAAGCAGGGAACCTGGGGATGAATTCGAGATTAAGCTCAGCTCTGTGTCAAGTTTGTCCTCATCATATTCTGTAATAAACATTGTGTTGTGGTTAGGTGCCTATTGAAAACTATTGAATTTTTAGAACATTATGATGGAAGTATATGGTGGCTATTCCCATGCTTATTTATGTCTCGTAAATTGGTGCAGCAACTTTTGGGATGATACTACTTGTTACACAGATTTGGTGCCAAATTTAAGCATTTTTTATCACTTGAGAATTGATGCAAATGGTCAAAAATCCCTCCAAAATACCACATCAAGACACCAAGATTCGAGGAACACCATAGAAAAATTATAGTTTCTAAAATCTATCACAAGATAAGTAAACTGTTGCTCTTTTTACAGGTTTTACTCCCACTGGTTAAGTGGAACAATTCATTAATTTTTCCACTTGCTGTGACACTTGATAAGTGGTATTGGTATTGCCTCTATCAGCGATCTTTGTTGTTCCCATCAGGTGATTCAGTTCAGTGTCTTCATGACATCTCTGGCTCGAGAAGCTGTGGAGAAGATCTGCCAGCTCTTCCATGACTGCTCCTCTCTGCTGCAGTTAGAGGTACGTCACTTTACTGTGCTGGTATATTTGTGTTATGGTCATCTTGAAAATCAGTCTTTTCTATTGTTATTATCTGTCATTATATCAGGATGTTATTACAGCAAGTTGGTTTCTAATCCATGTTTTTTTTTTTATACAAAAATAATGAGAAATTTGAAACTTATCTACATGGCAGAGAGTAAAATGTTTCATGTTTCATCTCACTATTGAACAGTTCTGCATATGTTCTGCAGATGCATTCATTCATCTGCGTAAGATGGAATATCAATAACACTGATGGAACTACTGTAATTTTTTTCTTTAACCTATTTCTTAATCCTAGGGCTGCAACCAGCGATTATTTTCAATATGTTATGATTTTCTCGCTTAATCGCTTCATTGTTTTGCTCTATAAAACATCAGAAAATAGTAAAAAATCTAATCACAATTTCCTAAAGTCCTTCAAACTTCTTATTTCTTATGACCAACAGTCCAAAGCCAAAGATATCACTGTAATATCAGTTCTGACAGATGGAAAGCTGGAGCTGGGTTTTGATCAGTTTCTTTACTTCAAGATAAGTTTAAGTTAAACAGCAGTACGTTTAAATGGAAGAGAAGAAACAAGCATTTCTGTCATTCATTGAAGTAGTCCTCCATTGCCTTCTGACGTTCAAAGTTTCTGTATTGCTTTAACAATATGTCATTTTAAGTAAAGATTAAGATAAGAAAACCAGCTAACTACAAAATCGTTTCATTCTCCTTTTTTCACGATTTCTATTTTTGTCTTTGTAGGTGACACGGGGTGTTGCAGAAATCGAGGACCTGAGGCGGAGACTGGAGGTGGCAGAGACGGAGCTGAAGCTGGTACTGGAGGGCAGCGGTGGTCAGAAGGAGGTAGAAGAGCTGACAGAGGGAAGCAGTGGAGAGAAGGAGGACAGTGGGGCTCCAACCAACGGCGCAGAGGGAGAGACTGTTCATAGCCAGCGCTCAGGGAGGAAGTGTCGCAGAGGTGATTGTCCTTTTAATGTTTTGTTTTTCTTTATTAAACATTGAGTGGAAAATTGGTCTTTTATACTGATTCCATTGGTACAGAATTGTCCCAGTGGAATTGCTTGCCTGGCGAACATGCCAAGAAAGTTTTCAGGCCCGCTGAATATGTGCAGTTGTGTTCTGGCCCCACCCTTGAGTTCCCACTCGACTCTTAGACTTAATATTGTAATTGCGTCACACATTTATAAATCCGTTTTCTTGGCTTGAGGAAAGTTTTACAAATATAAAATCTCCATGGTCCAAAAAGTCATGAAAGAAAGAGTCATGTTTGACCTTGTTTGCAGTTTGAAGTGTCCTCTCAAAGAATTTAACAGATGTCTCTTTCATAACGGTGATCTATGGAGAAAATGCTTTTTGGGCCACAGGGACGTCATGGACTAGATTTTCCTGAAAACAGACCCAAGAGGAGGTGCTTAAGTCTGTGTACTTTCAGACTACATACATTACACTGTGCTCAAAGACTCTAGTGGGATTTTTGCCTGGTGATGCCAAAAACACGGCCCACTTCAGCTGTTATTATAGTATTATTATTTTGTTAATTTCTTGTCCTTTTTTTTCCTGTTTCGCTTTGTAGGGCAGGAAAGAAAAGATGCATTTGAGTTTTCACATATCTACAAGATAATAAAACGCTGCACTTTGACTGCAGTTGACATCATTTATCTTTGTTACCACAAGTGCTTACAGGGTATTGATGTAGGAGCAGTTTGCTGTTGAAGAGTTCTTAAATTAAATTAAGAAGGTGCTGCGTCTCTACCATCTTTCTTTCTTGGTTTCTCTCTCTCTTCATTGTACTTGGTCTGATGAAGTGGAAATTGAGCAAAATACTGATGAAAAGCTTTTTTTGAATTTTTACAGTTGTTGCAAGCGGTGATGCTGGAGTGAAGAGATCACCTATAATTCACCTGTGGAAAGGCAGAACTTATGAGGTAAAATCCTGTCTTGTCTTATATAAATGTTCTGATATCTTTTGTGTAAGGTGCTGCTGTTACAGCCTCAGAACCTGGCTGCCAAATTGCTTGCATTCAGTCAAAGGGCTTTAGTGAGGGACAACACTGAGGTTGGTTGATAGGATCTGGCTGTCACTGTATGAATTCTAGTTTATCCCAGAGGTGTTGGAGATGAGGTTCAGGACTCTGTGCAGGCCAGTCATGTTCTTCAATGAATCCACACCAACCCGACAAAACTAGCTGGTTTTGTGCACAGGTTCACGTTGAACAAAAGAGGGGTCTTCCCCAAACTGTTGCCACAAAGTTAGGAGCACACTGTTGTCTGAAATACTGCTGTATGCTGTAGCAAGATTTCCCCTAACTGGAATTAAAGTGCCTGGACCAAAATACAAATAACAGACCTAGACCCAAAGGACATAATATTATGTGGACTGGGGCAGCCATGTCTTTTTATTTTCAGTTCCCTAGGCCACCCAGACACTGTGCTGTCTGATATTTGACTCCATATTCTCTCCTTCTCTCAGGACTGTGTCCAACCTGTGATAATAAAGGAGGAGGGATTGGAGGCTTTTGCAGACCAGGCGTCCTCTGATTCTGGTCAGTTCAAAGATGACTTGGGCCAGGACGATGATGACGACCCAGACTACCAGGTTGATTTCATGACCATCACATTCATTCTGTGTGTTATTTTGTCTGTTTTTAAGGTTTTTATTGTTTGGTTTTTTTTTACCTTATATTTGTCTGTATATGCCCCCCTTTATTATCTTAAGAATTAAACATACATGGTCTGTGTTTTCATAATTAAGAATGGTGTCCTAACTGTGTTAATGTAAGTGTTAAGGCCAGTCTATGTTAAGCATGTGATGAACTCCACCTGTTAGAGATTTCTGCCTCCTAGCCTAGTGAATGCTGAGATTTGCATCAGCCCACCAAAACAAGAAAAGGAACAGTGGGTTAAAATAAATGAATCAACTCTTTGTTTATTTTTTTGTCAGTTGGAACCAGAAGATCCAGATGAAGGTGACCCAGGATTCCCCACCAGACCTAAACGTGTCACAAAGCCCAAGTCCCATCGAGGTCGAGCAAAGAAGGAGAGTCACAGCCAGAACCAGCAGCCTCTGAGCTGCAAACACTGCAGAAAAACCTTCACCAAACTGCTGCAGCTGAAAGCCCACCAGGCCGTCCACGGGGCGAACGCAGAGAAGCCCTTCATCTGCTCTCAGTGTGGCAGAGGCTTTTCATTCCAGCGAAGCCTCAATGCACACATGCTGCTTCACACAGGTGAGTGTGGTAATACAGTACGGTGGCATTAGGACTCCACAAGAAGCTGACAAATCAGCAGCCCTGATATTACCTTAAAAAGGTTGTTATGGGGAAGTATGGTGTAAAGAAACATCCATAGGAAACACATTTACACATGTAGCAGAAAAGGTTTCATCATTAATTTCTTGAAGCTTGAAGTTTGTTTCTAGCCTGATGGGAGTTTAATGAGAGTGGTGAGACTCAACCACACAGTAAAGTGCCTTAAAACCAAAACAATGAGCTAAAGGGGCTGAAAAGCACGGTAGTGCTGCAGAACAGACAGACTGTCTTTGTGTTTGTCAGTGCAAGACACCCCTTTCACATCAAGTCATTTGATTTATGTTCATTAAAATTGTTTTTTTAGGGGAGCTTTAAAAAGCATATTACCTTTGATTTCTGCAGTATGCCATATTCTATTTCTCTTACAGTACTCATTGCTCTCATATACAGGTGAGAGACCACACACCTGTGATGTTTGTGGAAAGGGTTTCACCTTGAAGCAGCTGCTGAGGAACCACCAGCGTCTCCACGCTGAGGTGCGGCCGTTTCGCTGTGAACAATGCGGAAAGAGCTTCTATCGAGCCCACGGCCTGAAAATGCATCAGATGGTCCACACAGGAGAGCGGGCCTATAACTGCCAGTACTGCAACAAAAGCTTCACAATACAAGGTAACCTGCAGCGCCACCTGCGAATACACACAGGGGAAAAGCCATTCAGGTGCGAGACTTGTGGCAAAAGCTTCAACCAGGCTGACACTCTGAAAGGCCATCAGCGGATACACACTGGTGAGCGTCCCTTCAGCTGTGAGACCTGTGGCAAATGTTTCATCCAGAAGAGTGCCTTGAAAATGCACCAGAAGACTCACTCTCACTCGGGCATGAAGTCGCTGGCATGCGTAGCGTGCAGCACTATAGTGGCCTGTGTCGACTCGCTCCGCAAACATCTCCAGACACATGCGGCGACTATTCCGTGTACGTGTGTGCTCTGCGGCAGGCGGCTCAACTCCATTACTGACTTGCGCTCGCATCAGCAGCACCACACAGTGGACAGGCCTCACAGCTGCACACTCTGTGGAAAGAGTTTCAAGTCATCCAGTTACCTGAAGATTCACCTGAAGGCGCACAGCGGAGAGAGGCCCTTCTCCTGCGACATCTGCGGTCGCATGTTTACACAGCACAGCAGCCTTAAATCACACCAGGTGGGTTTGCATTGTGTATTGTTTTTGTAAAAGAAAAAAAGGAACTTTAGGCGGACAAAGAGTTTATGAAAGATGTACATTTTAGGAACTTTCCTTGTCTACTACCACAGATACTTTATGGTGCTATAGAATAAAAAGGAAAACTCATGGACCTCATGTTAGGATGATACAGAAGTGTCAGGAATTTCATCAAAACCCTCAGTGCTGACATTGCCCTTCTGTGTGGGGCACACTTCCTGTCAACATTTGACAGTGATGCTGGTTGTATAAATTAGGAACAAAAAACCTTTAAAATTGAGCCCTTTATGCTACTCTGATGACACGTCACAGACAGCTGTGTTGCTAATATTTCGCTTATTATTTCAGATCCTGTAATATGAATGAAACTTGCTCACAAACATGTATGAACATGCGTGTCCGCATGAGCAGAACACTCAGCATTCATCAGGCTGAAACAAGAGACTAATGTCAAATTTGGGCTGTTTAGAGAATTTGGTTAATCTGACTGATATGAGCAAACCTCACAGAAAAAAGTAAAAGAGATTTAGGAATAAAGAATATTAAACATTTCTTACAGCAGGCTCAGTGTGGTATGAATCTTTATACAAGGCTTAACATCTGTAAATCCAACATCAAAAAGGATTTCACTCACAGCTTTTCTGTTAACTTTTTTCTCCAAAGGTTGTCCACACAGGAGAGAAACCGTTCAGCTGTGACACATGCGGGAAATGCTTTAGCAACACAGGAAACCTGAACAGACACCAGCGCATCCACACTGGGGAGAAGCCGTTCAGCTGTGACACGTGTGGACGCAGCTTCAACCAGGGCAACAGCCTAAAAGCCCACCAGCAGATACACACCGGGGAGAAACAGTTTATGTGCGATAAGTGTGGCAAGAGTTTTTCCTACCTGAGGAACCTGAAAGACCACAAGTGTTTCTACATCTGAAGCTAAACTGTGACAAGACGTCTGCTCTGGTGACAGAGCGCATGACGTAAGCTTCCCGTACCTGTTGATTGATGGCCGTAGCTACACTGTGGGGTTCGGATTAGTGAACAAATAAATGAATAACCTTTTAGTTGAAGCTGGAGACTGTTACTGTGTACATGATCATTCTTAAAGGTTCAAGAGGCTTAGGTGAGCACCTTTTTGTGCTTAAAATGTAAAGGTCCAGTGTGTAGGATTTAGGGGGATATGTTAGCAGAAATTAAATATAGTAAGTATGTTTTCTTTAGTGTATAATCACCTGGAGAATAGTTTGTTTTGGAGAGGACCTCTGCTGATAATTAGGCTCCGAGTAAAAACCTCCTGAACGATGAACACTGATTGAATCCTAACCGGGAGTTCATGCTTGGCACATGGGAGAAGTTTTTGCCGGTTGCAATCTGCAGTTGTCACCACTAGATGACACTAAATCCTACACACGGCTCCTTAATGAATATAAGGCATTACCTGCCACCAGACAGACTTACGGTGAGTGAGTCAGGTACGACAGCTTGAATAAGGTACTAGAGATTTTGGAAAGAACTGCTGGTAAATGACTGGGCACAGTCAGAACTACTTAGAAACAAGCATGTGGTGCCCTACATTGAAAACATGGATAAAAGAAAGATAACATGCAACATTTATATGTGGGAATAACTGACAATTTACATTAACAGTTTGCATTTCATTGGAGGCATCTGCATGTACGGAGAGCCTTTTAGGCTACGTTCACATTACAGGCAAATGTGGCCCAAACACTCTTTTTTTTTTTTTTTTGCTCTGATGTCACACATCTGACTTTTCCCCCCAACAATCATGGTTTTTCCCACATAAAACTTCACTGCACAGACATTGATTACTAACCATTTTTTGTTCCATGTGTGTGACTTTATTGGTTGCATGTGAGGCGTTTCAGGGCGGAGATATGTTCATGTTGACGGTAGATAGGGATCACTTCAAACATGTATGTGAGCAGTCAGGGCAGAAAGATCTGATCTGGGGAAAACATCAGAATTGAGTGGTAAGCCGTGTAATGCGAACGTACCCATAGTTCTTTATCTCAATATATTTGTAAGCAGGGTTTGTCTGCAGATGTCAGAAAAGTCTGGGAGGAAGTTTAAGACAATTACTGTCAGCATTTTTAACTTTTTAAACTCATACAGAAGGACTCAAATAAAGTCAGCCTGTACGATCTGAGGCTGGACACTACAACAAAGAGTTCAACTTTTTTGCCCAATCAATTGTAAGAAGGAACACCTCATTAAAGATCAGGGGCTGTATCCACAGAGCTTCCTCGTACAAAGAGTTGCTTCTGGTGACAAAATTATTAGAACTTTCTTAGAATTATGACTTTTTCTAAGAATTTCCCCATACAGTTAAGACTAGGTCCTAGAAAAGATAAAAGTTATTCAAAAAGCACCTTAGCTCTTAAAAGAGCTCTTAAGATGAATAACTGTTGGGAGTATAGAGGAGGACTTTTAAGAGTATCTTAAGCAGAGGAGGAAATGGCAGAAATACAAAGATTAGAGAGAAATTTTCCAAATGCTGAATATCAGTGAGTTAATGAAATGCTACAGATTAGATGGTGCAGGCATGCTGTTTGCGGTTAATCTCATGAGAGATGTGCTCACATCTCCGCCTAGCAATAATGATATAACACTAGAAATAAAGTGATCACAACACTAAGATATTTGGCATCTGGAAAAATGCAACAGTGCAGCAGTGATGACTCTGGTCTGTCTCAACCTTCCATCAGCAGAGTGATCACACTAACAATGCCAACACTTTGTCTCATATTGTGATGCAGTTCATTTTATTTCCACCGGGTGTCTGCACTACTTCTGTCTCATCCTCGCTCAGAGTGGCTCTGAGAATTCCCCAAAATCACTCCTAAACTAAGAATACTTATATATATACAGTACAGGCCAAAAGTTTGGACACACCTTCTCATTCAATGCGTTTTCTTTATTTTCATGACTATTTACATTGTAGATTCTCACTGAAGGCATCAAAACTATGAATGAACACATGTGGAGTTATGTACTTAACAAAAAAAGGTGAAATAACTGAAAACATGTTTTATATTCTAGTTTCTTCAAAATAGCCACCCTTTGCTCTGATTACTGCTTTGCACACTCTTGGCATTCTCTCCATGAGCTTCAAGAGGTAGTCACCTGAAATGGTTT